ATTGTTTTGGGCTCAGTTGTGATTCTTGCTTTTCTTTCCTAGTTTACTTGTAAGATTCAAGGAGGGGCTGCAGCTCGCGCCTCTCCCTAGGATGTTGTATGAACTCACTCTAAATCTGCTTCTGAATTAATAAATTTATTTTCATTCATCAAAAAAACATTTGCCACCTCAGGGTCCAATCTAGGCCACTCTAACCCTTCCACTCTAAGCCTCACATCCCCTTGTCTTTTGTAAACTGCTTTTTAACCACCAAGGTGGAAAGAACTTTAGAGGGCACAAAATGACCAACTTGGAGCAGCCCATGCTTCTACAAGGTTAATAGTGGATATACCCAGACAACAAGCTTTAAGGTTAAGAACCTCCCCCAAATGATTCCTAGCAATACAAGCTACTGAACAGACCTCACCATTAATACAGGATGCATCAAAATTGATTTTAATGGACCCCACTTGAGGATATTTCCAAATAATGGCTTTCCATGACTTCATATTAGTTTCCTTAGACTTACATTTGAAGCTTCCCTGACATTCCAAGAAATAGTTTAAAGCTTTGGGGGTGGGGGAGCGGCTTGTTGTCCAAAGAGACTAGAGAAAAATGCACTTCTCTTTGCATATATTTACAATTGATTCTAGGGGCTCCTCTCTCTCTCTCTCTCTCTCTCTCGGAACTTTTTATTAAATTTGAAAAATTGCTATATACACTAGACAGTCCTTGAAGCACCTTCCACATGGAGGCTTGTAATGTTAAGAGACATGTTGAATCTTAAGCCATATAGTAATGCCAACATATGCTTTCACCAAGTTCCCATGGCCTATAGGTCCTGAATAGATGAACACGATAGCACCTTCATGGTTCCTAAAGATCCCCCCAACTCCTGAAGGACATGGGCTCCCAAGGTCCTGAATAGGGACCCCTCTTTTTTTATAATTGGTCTTATTCAACTTTAGATATAAGATTTTTTTTATTAGTCAATTTTAGATAATAGAATTTTTTTATCAGCAACACAACGAAAAGAATTTTATTAAAGAAAAGAAAGTACAGATTACAACAAGAAGTTGTGAAGAAAACAGTGTTTTAAAAGCGCAAGGTGCAAGGCAAGGTGTGCACCTTTTTGAAGCAAGGCACAAAATTAAAAAAAAAAATGCTAAAAAATAAAAAAATAATAAAAAAATGCAAAACAAATATTAATAAAAAATATAAACTTAAATTTTAAAATAAATGTTTAAAAAAACCTATTATCTAAAATTAAAATACATAAAAATAACATGTAAAGCATATTCAAATGAGAACTTAAAAATAAAATAAAACATATAAAACATTTTCAAGCATGTAAAAACCACAATCTCTTTTTTTTTCTTCAATTGCATTACTTCAAGCAACTAATGCGATGTAAAACATATTACATTCCTGATTTTACGAGCCGCCTTTGTGCCACGTCCCTCAAGGCAAGCCCAAACAAGTCCATTTTAGGGTCTTAAATTCTTAGTTCTCACACAAAAAATAATGATTTTGTAATTTTAATTGCTTTTTAAGAAGATATTTTTTAGGATGAATGAATGACCAACATTACCAAATAGGGGGTTGTTTGGGCTTACCTCAAGGGGTATAGCACGGGGATTTGGGGGCGAAGCCCCCAACCCAACTACTAGGTTCAAAAAAAGGAAAAAAGCATCAAATTTTCAAAAGGCACACGCCTGGGCTGAGGCACAAGGGGCATCAGGTGCACACCTAGGGAAAGGGCTGCACCTAGGACCTGGGTGAGGTACCTACCCTAAAATGYGCCTTGCCTGTGCTCCTAGGCATGCCTTTTAAATCACCAGAAGAAAAGCAGTACAAAACAAGACTAKCCCCCCATAAGTATTACAATTGTGCCTAGTACAAATTTTGTTTCTGAACTCCTTGCTTAGCAAGATTGTCTGCCAAGCTGTTAGCAGATCTTCTAATCCATCTTACTTGAATATTCAGATCTTTTGAGAGCCATTTGAAGTGCCTGAATTCATTTTTGAGCTTCCAAATCACCCCTTCACCTTTTCTTGGCCAACCTACTACAATCTTTGAATCATCTTCAATGATTAACCCTGCCAATATAAATTTCTTTGGCTTTCTCCACCCCAAGCAATCTCCTATCTTTCCCACTTCCTTCATTGATTGTGGAAACAGACATTTTTTGAGACATCAATTGCAAGGAAGAAAGTTCAGTGAATTCAGTAATAGGAGGCCATGGAGCTCAAGATGGAAACCATGGCATCGTTGATAGAAGATTAATAACTGCTTTAGTGAAATGCCCAAGGTTCTCTAGTTGAAGGCCCATAAAAGACTATTAACAGATGCCCATTTCAGCACAATTCTTTCAAATTTTCCATGCAACTTCTCAACAGGTGAGGAGCCATTTTTGAAGGTATGGCTAACTCTTCAACTGGCAGTTTGGCTAAGAGCCAAGTAGGGAAATTGTTTTGGAGACATCAATCATAGGACAGATTTCCATTCTTTGTATCAATATTTGGGGATTTAAGCTTGCAAAATTGTTTGTTAAGTTCTTCTTTGTTTGGTTTTCTTTTGAGACCCTTCCCTACAGTGGGGTTCCTTTTCCTTGCATTATTCCTTCTCTTGCTTTTTTAATGCATATTATTGTTATCGATAAAAATATTCAGGAGTCATTGTAGAGTTGGTATGCCAAAAGCCTCCTTCCTACAAGCAGGAGGAAAGCATGTGGAGATGCATCTTGGCTGCCATTTGTGGAATATATGGGATCAAAATTCCATGTTCTTTCCATATAGGCCTCACACACCTAGGATAATCATTGCAAATTTGCTATTAGAGATGCTCAATTTGGCAGTTGTTCAACAGGGAATGTTAAGCTTCTAGGTGTTGGAGTTGACAACACCTATGGCTATTAATTGGAAAATATAGGGCCTTCGGTCAGAATGTCTGTCCATGCATGTGTTCATGCACACCAAAACTATCAGAAAAAGAAATAAAGCAAATGAAGCAAGCACAATGTGAAGTCAAATAAAATATACATAGATAAAAATCTGAGCAAAAAGAGGAAAAAAGAAAAAATAAAATGCAAATTTGAAATGCTTGCCTTGTTCCAGTTATTGCCATGAATTGCTGAACTTTGTCACGGTGCCCTCTGCCCAATTTATGCTGTCAGGCAAGCAGATTGCAGTTAGCACATCATTAATAATTAATAAATAATAATATTGCAAGGAATATACCAATAAAAAAGTTTAACATTTCAAGAAAGCATGTATATGCTGTAAAGCAGGAATGCACATAGACTCGGCACATGGTTTTGGCTCATTAATCATGTAAAGTCCTTCTATCCTTTTGTGGTTTACCCTTGTTCTCTATGGTAATATAACATATATATTAGACAAGGCTTATTATCCATGGTGATTGAAAAAAAAAAAAAAATAGCAGTTCACATCCCAGAAAACCCTTACATAAACATCTAACTGATGAATGTTTTAGAGTCAATCTGCTGTCAAAGAACCAGATGACTGACGGGAGTGTTTATCTCCAATTGCATATTTTCATGGAGACTAACAGAGGATAATGCATCTGAAAAGGAGATAATTAACAGCTGCAGCAGTGCAGTGGCTTGCTGATTGGGAAATTGTTAATGAGAAATCTTTTACTGTCCCCGCTCAAGATCCTATGCTGTCCACAGTCCACACAGGCTCTCTTCACATGACACATTAGTCCACATAGTCAAGCCTCTGGCCCGTTACCTGTTACCAGTGTATTTTTGAAAGTACTGGTGTATGGAGTCCATAGGGACTGATGTTACTGGTTTATGGAATTTGTATGGACTATCATGTTACATAGGAAGGACTCCATGGACAGCAAAGGACACCAAAATTTTCTCATTGTGAATGAGGCAAAGCACAGCCTCTGCTCTTGCATGGAAAGGGGGGAAAGCAATGATAGAGAAGGGGGGAGGTGGATACCGTGTTTCAAAGGTGACTGAGAAGCAAGTGGGGATCTTCTTACTGTGACAAACAGTCAGGATTTTAGATCAGACAAAGAGGAAAATGGCTGCCAGCTGCCTGAACCAAAAGGTTTAGGATTTATCTCATTTTCACTGGGGAAGAAGACATAGTTAGGAAGGAGAAACAAGAATGACGAAAGAGAACTATATTACCTGGTTTTACATTTTCCCTTAACAACATGTTATAGAGTATTTTTTGTATGAAAAGATATGAGAATGAAGCCACCCACCTAGGACAAGGAGATTAGATTTCCCCAAATAGATCGTAATCATGTTTTAAATATATGCACTGATATCAATATAGACTATATCATATGTTATTATATATTTATATAATAAGTTCAGATCCTTATCAGCCCAATCAGGGTAAGCCCTCTACCAACAGAATTATTTCAGGCCTAAAAACTTGGATCTAGAAATGACCCAACAGAACAAGGATCTGTCATGGACCTTAAGAGGGCATTTATATTATTTGCTTGCTGTTCAATCAGTGCAGGATTCCCTTCTTTTTAGCAATATTTTGTTCAGTCCCGTGACTGTTAAGGGGGGGTTTAGATATCAATCAGCATGAATGAGCAGATTTTGGAGACTTTTCTTCATTTTTCCATTTGGCAGTGCAGTTTGAGCATATGATAGAAAAAACTTCCTACACCACAGCTTTGTTTGGACCCTGTGGAAGCAGGCCAGTTCCTCTTAAAGCCCATATACTCATAAGGATTTTATAAGCATGAGATGGGATCACATTGAGTAATTTTTCAGTTGGTGCATTGTGCAAAGGAAAATTTTCTTCTTCACCCTTTTGTGTAATCGTGTTTGATGACTGTTTTGTGGCTGGTTATCTTCCCATTCATCAAGTAATTATCATTTCTTGCAATATAAATATGTTGGTATTCATCAAAATATTAATTAAAATGCAACTTGCAAACCCATATGCACCAAAATATACGAAGATTAATGATCCTCTCTAGTATGATTATAATTTGGTTCAGGGAATAATGATTTATTATCCTGTAAATGATCATCGCAAAGAATACCCGAATTGCTTAAAAACATAAAATTCTATCTTAGAATACGACACTCAGGTTAGATACAAGGTGTCAAACCAAAAAACAGCAAAGTCGATCATCTTTAATTCAAGAAAAAGATAGATAAAAAAGAAACAAAAGGAGAACCGTACTGTTAAAGCCTAAACGCTTCATGAATATAAAATGATATAAAATAAACACAATTAGAGATACTGACCATATGAAAATTTGGAACCGAAATTCTATCAGAGATACTGACCATTTTGAGTTCGTTGTAGAAAACCTAATTATCGAAGAAAAGGACGGCTTTCTTTACAGAATTACGGAGAGAGAGAAACTAGGCTTTCGATTTTCTGCCTCACTGTCGTGCACTCTCTCTCTCTCTCCTCCCTCTCTACTTCTCGCCCTCCTTTTCCCTGGCTTCGGTTTCCGATTCCAATTACACCATAGAAAGGCGTCGACGCCATATTCACCCCACCGCCCCACGCCCGGTTAATTTGCTAAATTACTAACAAAGACATATAACTTTTTCTATTTCATTTAGAGGAGTTATGCGATGTACAGATTAGCGTTAAAACACCTCCTATTTTATAAATAAATTACAGACACGTGCTCTATACTTTGTTTTGTACAAAAAACTCCCGCCCTGGACTTTTTTTGCGGTTTTTCCCCTAAACTTTCTTTGGCAATTTGACCCGCCCCGTCAGAGCTCCACGGCCCTCCACCCCCTCCGCCTCAGTCGGGGCAGGACTTTTAACCTCTCGTCGGGACGGATATGCAAAACCCGGCCCCGCCCCGCCCCGTTGCCATTACTTTGTTCTTATCGTGGGATCTATGTCGTTGTAATCGGGTTAGGTTCGAAACGGATCCACAGCTATATTTGAAGTTTTGAACCTATTTCAATTGTTTAAAAATGCAATCGATCCGGAGTGAACTAATTCGAATCCCATCGGACTTGGATTAGTCTTACAAGTTACAACAGCAGATGAGCTCAACGGCTCAAAAAGGAAGGAACGTTTCCCGCCAAAACCTGTCGTTCTAAAGGAAATGCCGAACTTCTTGGTCTCCCTCCCTCTACTGACTCTGAGCTCACGAACCCTAGCAGCTTATCTGCAGGAAGATGGGCGAAACCCCCAAACTAACGAAACGATCCTCTCCTCGGATTCTCAAATCGTCGCCATCTTCAGCCGTTTCGATCCCCCCGACACCGGAAGCTTTGGTTCCTCGCCGGTCGTCGTGGCGGATCTCTTTGGGTTCCAGCCCTCCACCCCCCTGCAAATCACTTCTTCAAGTTGAAGAAACCACTAACATTCATGGAGAAACTCCAAATTCCGCTAAAAATGGCAGAAGATCTACCAAACGTTCGGAGAAAGCATCGATCGGAGCTTCATTTGCTCCGATTTCTCCTGATTGTTCAGAGTCAAAGAAAAGGAAAAGATCTGAGAGGGCGGAAACAGCTAAAACGAGAGCTCGGTTTTTGAGAAACTCGACGTCTCATAAAAAGAAAAAGAACAATGACGTACCCAAGAGGCGTGTGTATTACAAGAAGGTCGTCTATGACGAAGGGGAATTCAGTATAGGAGATGATGTTTATGTCAAGAGGAGAGAGGACGCAAGCTCTGATGATGAAGATCCTGAGGTGGATGAGTGTCGCATATGCTTCAAGTCTGGAAAGGCTCGGATGATTGAATGCGATGATTGCTTGGGCGGATTTCATCTCAGATGTCTCAAACCTCCTTTAAAGGAGGTTCTAGAAGGGGATTGGATATTGTGGATTTTGTGAGGCTAGGAAAATGGGGAAGGCGGTTGAACTTCCATCCCTTCCAAAGGGGAAGAAACGACGTAGAACCTTGAGAGAGAAGCTTCTTTCAAGCGATCCATGGGCTGCACGTATTGAGAGGTAGATTCTCTTAGTAGAGTAATATCACTTTTTGCTCTGATCGTCTTATGTAGTAGTCTATTGAGATTTTTCTTTTGGAATTGGACTAGTTTATGGAAAGAACCAGAAGGGGTCTACTGGTTTCGGGGACGTTGGTATATAATTCCAGAAGAAACTGCATCAGGAAGACAACCACACAATCTAAGGAGAGAGCTTTATCGCACAAATGATTTTGCTGACATTGAGATTAGTGCCATTTATTTATTACTTGTGTTTTTCTTTTCCTTCATGGAAACATGTTATGTCATTGCTATTTTTCTGTTTTTCCAGTGATAATCTTTTAACTTTTAAGGCTGGGGTTCTCCATGACAATTCAGTGACTACTATGGGACTAAATCTCAAAACACGTTTCCATTTTTCACRATATTATGCATAGATCGGATATGTCATGGCCAATTCCTTGGGAAAATGGTGCCTTCCATGATGTAATCTAACAAGTAAGATTGCCTTCCATGATGTAATCTAGTAAAGTAAGATTGCCTTCCATGATGTAATCTAATAAGATTTTGACAAGTGTTTACATAATTTTCTTGTCTGAAGAAGTGATTCATCAAAACAATGAGTCTCATGTTCCATTGATGTGGACACATCTGAGATCACCAAATGCTTGGAAATAAATTAGTGCAGGAATAACATGGAGTGAACAATGAGTCTCCTATTGCATAGGGCTATGGGCCTACGGCTTTACCTTGTGAAACCATGATCATAAAGATAGGGATGAATGAAAACTAAAATTCTTGTACACAGCCACTCCCAACTCCCCAGAAATATATCCTATATTTAGATCATATCAGGCACAATATTAACCAGTTACAGTTTGTATAGAATGGGACTTGCTGCTAGTTAGAAGTGTTTCAATGGTTCAAATAGATCCTGTTCAGAGAGAGAGAGAGAGAGAGAGAGAAGAAGAAGAAGAAGAAGAAGAAGAAGAAGTTGTCGAACTAGAGAGATTAACCCTCCTAGTCAACCATAATCTCTATTATATTAGAATTAGGGTACAAGGTCAAGGGTACAAGGTCAAATATACCCCTACTTAAGTATGGGACAAGTGAATTAAAAAAGATAAAACAGAATTGCCACATCATCACTTAACTTAAAACGTAATGAAAAGACTAAGTTACCCTTAACCAACTCTAACACTCCCTCTTAAGCTGGAGAATATATGTCATATAATCTCAGCTTGTTACATATATAGTTCACTCTCCCTGAGCTCAAACCTTTTGTAAACAAATCTGCCCATTGATCACCTGAACTCACGTGTTCTGTGCTTATCTCTCCAATAAAGACTTTCTCCCTCACAAAATGGTAATCAACCTCTATGTGTTTCGCTCTTTCATGGAAAAATGGATTAGAAGAGATGTAGGTTGCAGCTTGGTTGTCATAGTACAATCTCATAGGTTTTCTCATTGAGAATCCAACCTCTTGTAGAAGATTTTCAGCCATACTAACTCACATGTAGTGTGTGCTATGGACTTGTATTCAGCTTCAGCACTACTCCTTGCCACAACAGTCTGCTTCTTATTCTTCCACATCACCAAATTTCCTCCAAGAAACATGTGATAGCCTATATTAAATCTCCTGTCAGACACCGAGCCTTCCCAATCTGCATCTGTATACCCAACTATCTCAAGTCTTCCCCCTGGTTTGTACAATAACCCACGACCTGGAGCTCCCTTCAAGTACAGTACAATTCTAAGAACTGCATCCCAATGAGGTACTTAGGGATTTTGCATAAATTGGCTCACCACACTAACAACAAAGGAGATGTCTAGTCTAGTAATGGTTAAGTAGTTCAGCTTCCCCACCAACCATCTATTCCAAGATCAAATATTTCACCTGCATCACTACTCGACTTAGCATTTGGTTCCATGGGTGTTTCAGTTGGTTTCGCACCTAACAATCCCGTTTCTTTCAACAGATCAAATGGGTGTTAAGTAGTTTCGCACCTAGTAACTTCTATACCCAAGAAATACTTCAATGTCCCAAGGTCTTTTGTTTGAAAATGATTTTGCAGAAATGCCTTTAGTTTGTCAATCCCTAATCTGTCACTACCAGTTATGACTATATCATCCACATAAACCACTAATAAAATCTTTCCGGTTTCAAAATCATAGCTAAACACTGAGTGGTCGACCTAACATTATTTCATTCCAAAATTATTCACCACTTCACTAAACTTCCCAAACCAAGCACAAGGAGATTGTTTCGGCCCATAAATTGCCTTTTTCAATCTACACACCTCACCATCCTCCCTTGAAGCAACAAACCCTGGTGGTTGCTCCATATATACCTCCTCTACAAGGTCATCATGGAGGAAGGCATTTTTAATGTCAAGCTAAAGCAGAGGCCAATCATACATAACTACCAAGGAAATTAAGACACGAACTGAACCAATCTTAGCCGCAAGGAAGAAGATTTCCATATAGTCCACCCCATATAATGGAGAATAACCTTTAGCAACCAATTGGGCCTTCAACTACTCCACACTACCATTTGGTAAAAATTTAACAGTATACACCCATTTACAACCTATAATATGATTATTTGGAGGAAGCGTCGTGAGCTCCCACATGTGATTGTGTTGAAGAACAAAGAATTCCTCCTCTATTGCTTGACACCACCCGGGTGAAGTAAGGGCCTCCTAGACATCCTTAGGTATAGATATAGAGGACAATAGAGAAACAAACTGCCGATGCGAATTGGAAGGGTGAGAGACAAAAACATAATTGGAAATGGGATGTAGGGTACAACTACGTTGACCTTTCTGTAAAGCAGTGGGAAGATCAAGTTCAAAAGGCTCTGGGACAGGAGCAACTACAGGATCCACAGATGAGGTAGAAGTTGGAGGAGGTGTCGGTGTCTATCAATGAGTATGCGCGTGCCGAATTGGTGGTTGTTCAGTAGGAATCTGCACTAGAGGATGTGAAGGTTCAGACATAATAGGAACAACCCAAACGAGATCACCAACTGGAAGAGGAAGAGGGATCAATGGTGAAGAGGAAGGTACATCAGGCCCCGAGAAGAACGGTACAGACTAAAAAAAGGTGACTTTAGTGCAGGCAAATGACTTCCGAGTGATAGGATTGTAACACTTATACCCTTTCCGGGTCCGAGAATAGCCAAGAAAGATACACTTAATAGAATGTGCATCCAGCTTGTCTAAACCAGGACTCAAATTGTGAACAAAGCACACACCCAAAGACCTAGGGAGTTAATGGAATGGGAGACAAAGTAGGGAACAAAATAGAAAAGGGAGATTGACCATGAAGGATGAAGGAGGGCATCTGATTAATAAGGAAATAAGAAGTAAGCACTGCATCACTCCAAAAACGTTTAGAACATTCATAGGATGAAGAATAGACCAAGTAGTCTCAAGAAGATGGCAGTTCTTTCGTTCAACCACCCCATTTTGTTGAGGGGTGGATGCACACGAAGTCTGATGAATGATGCCATGTTGTTCCAAATATTGTTGAAAAGAAGTAAGAAAGTATTCGCGATCATTATCTAAATGAA